GACAAAGGTAGAATTTACTGTTTTTAAAGGATGTCCTGGGACAGATGTGGGGGTATATATCAGGTTTCTCATTTTTTTGTCAAAAATGTTTTCCGGTAGAAATGTCAAATCGTTTAACACACTAGAAAAGCCACATAACCTATGAACAAAACTAAAGCAACTAAAAACGCAAGGTTAATAAATGTCGCATAACTTTTTCAAAAATAAAGATATCATGTGGGTTTTTCCCACATGCGAAGCGATTATTATCTATCCCCACTTTGGGTACATACAATAAATTCTCTTAAGGGAACCCCACCCATTCTCGATTTTAATTTTTCAAGATTTTCAATGGGCTGGTAAATCAATACCAATTCTTGTTAAGGTTTGTAACATTGCACATATATGTTTGAAGATTTAAACGAGAGGAAAATTAAAAAAAAAAATTGTGTAATTGTTTTGTTGTTGTTTTTTGTAATTAAAGAGAATTCCTTATTTTTGATGGCGGGCATGATAACTCCTCACTGGAACATCGGAATCCGAAAACAAAATGGCGGGCCCTTGAAAAAATATTTTTGGAAAATCGCCGATTTTTGACCAAAAACCAAGTTAAAAAATGAGGAAGATCTTCACCAATTGGCTTTATCCTAGTTCATACGATAGCTATACACTCACAGAGAAACGTGTAAAAATTTGGAATCGATTGGGTTATTAGTTTTTGAGTTATCGTGCCCGCCATTCACAAAAGAGAAAAACACGTTTAAAGTTTGAGAAGTCCTTTAGCCGTCACTTGACGATGACACAATAAATCGGCTATATCTTCAAGAGTTCTTGAGATTTTCACTTGAAATCTTGTATGGACATTCTAGAATTAGAGTAGATTCGAATTAAATAAAACAAAAAAAATTGTCAATTTTTTTTTTATTTAATTCGAAATTACGCCTTAAATTTGTATTCTGCATTTTTTTTCAAACATGCAATAGTGAGTGTATTGGAGTTAATTTTGTTTTCTTTATTATACCCTTCACCACACTGTGGTACAGGGTATTATGTCTTTGTGCATATGTTTGTAACAGGCAAAAATAATCGAGATAGACCCATGGTTCCTTTTGAGAATATGCATAGAATCACTTTCTGAGTCGATTTATGCATGTCCGTCCGCCCGTCTGTTGGTGTTAAATTGTAAACAAAGTACAGGTCGCATTTATGATCCGAATTGGATGAACCTTGGCACAGCTCATTCGTTTGGCCCAAGGACGAACCCTATTGAAATTGGGAAAAATCGGTTCAGATTTAGATATAGCTCCCATGTATATTTTCGTCCGATTTAAGGTAAATGGTGCACCAAAGTCCCTATATATATCTTTTGATTTGCACGAATTTTGACATAGCGTACTGAATTAAGTCTAGAATGATGTGTGCAAAGTTTCGTGACAATCTGTTCAGATTTAGATATATGGGAGCTATCCATATATATCTTGGTCCGATTTAAGGTAAATTGTGTATCAAAGTCCCTATATATCTTTCGATTTGCACGAAATTTGGCACCGCGTACTAAAATAAGTCTAGAATGATGTGTGCAAAGTTTCGTGAATATCGGTTTAGATATAGCTCCCATATATAGCTTCGCCCGATTTTAGGTAAATAGTCTACTAAAGTCCCTGGAAATCTTTTGATTTGCACGAATTTTGGCATAGCGTACTGAATTAAGTCTAGAATGATGTGTGCAAAGTTTCGTGACAATCTGTTCAGATTTAGATATAGTTCCCATATATATATTCATCCAATTGAGGTAATTGGTGCACCAAAGAACCTATATATCTTTCGATTTGCCCGAAATTTGGCATAGCGTACTGAATCTGTTTAGATATATCTCCCATATATAGTTTCGCCCGATTTTAGGTAATTGTGCACCAAAGTCCCTGGAAATCTTTTAATTTACACGAATTTTGGCATAGCGTACTGAATTACGTCTAGACTGATGTGTGCAAAGTTTCGTGAAAATCGGTTCAGATTTCGATATAGCTCATATATATATATATATATATTCGCCCGATTTTATGTAATTGGTGCACCAAGGTCCCTATATATCTTTCGATTTGCACGAATTTTGGTATAGGGTATTGAATTAAGTCTAAAATAATGTTGCTAAGCTTCGTGAAAAGATCCATAGCTAGGTCGATTGACACAACGTACTGATGTAATATAAATTAGTCTCTGTCAAGTATCCTTGAAATCGGATCAGATATAGATACATAACAAAAACGCATCGTCTGTTAGGATACATTTGTAGAATATACCCAAAGTGGTGAAGGGTGTCATATAGTCGGCCCAGTCCGACTTTACTACATTCCTTACTGTTTTTTTTTTCTTAGAAATATAAAAAGTTAATTTTAAAAATTTGAGATTTGTTGTTAACTGCCACATACTTAATAAAATGCAACAAAATTTTTTGAATGTCGTAAATTTTTTCAAAGTAAAAACATCCACTTGCTTCTGCATGCTACTATATAATCTTAACAGATTTTCGCCAAATTTAATAGGGTATATCCTGGAACCAAATAATTGAGCTGTGCTAAGTTTCATATCTTTCGGATAATAAATACAACCTGCACTTTGTTTACAAATTAACATGGACAGACGAACATGCATAAATCGATTCGGAATGTGACTTTATGGATATTCTTAAAAATAACCATTAGTCAATCTCGTAAAGGCATAATACCCTGTACTACTGTGGGGTAAAGGGTATATAAAGAGAAGGTTCACTTTCACTTTTTTTTCTTACAATACATTTATTTGTGTAACAGAGAAAATATCATATAGCTCCAGCGATATTTGTACTAATACGTAGTATGATTGTTTGTAAAAATATTATCAACATCAACGCATTTCAAAATGTATAGACAATGTCGTTTTATTCTACTAATTTAAATAAGAACTATTACCTTCAAATAAGATTTGAAGTGTGTTATATTAAATTTGAAACATATTTTAATGCTGCCTGAAGACTTTTTCGCACACAAGTATTTTTTGAACAAATGATTGTCAATAAATGAAGCAGCTGCTTATAAATCAAGCTATTTAAGATTTTATGATGACAATACATTAAAATTGTTCATTTAATATCACGTAAAGGAGTATTCACTAATTACAGCATAATATAAATATATATATATATATACACATAATTATATTCTGCTGTGGTTACTTTTAACACTTTAACTTTGCCACCTGCAGCTAAATTTAATTACATTTCATATTACATGTGGTCTTTGAGTGAAATTTAAATAAAATTCTACAACTGCATAATTCATGTGAATTTATTGAAGTGTATATGCTCTTTTAATTTATATGGATTCAGTAAATAACGGGAAATGTTCTGTAGAAAATTGGTCGTTTTTTGGTAGACCTTCGCCTTTGAGCGAGCTTTGGTCATGATTAAATTCAGTTTTCAACAGTGATATTTATTCGAGATCCTCATGCAAATATTAAAGTTTATGAGAGAATTTTTGTCAATGTGATCCAAAGTTGGGAATACCTATGGTACAGAAATTGATTTTTCAAGAATGAGGACCCAATATTTGCCTTCTTTGCTCTTTACTTTGTGTGGAAATGAATCTTACGATGTACTAAGTAGAGACAAACAACTCTTAAACTTACCAATATATATGACAGTTTTCCGATATATCAGTTGATTGATATTGGAAATTTATTAGTGTTCATAGATATAAGGATTCCTGCGAAAAGTCCTTTCAATCTTTTGAACCACATTTTTGTATAATATTTGGAGGTTCATACGAAGAACTAATTCGTATATTATAAGAATATTGTTCAGCAAGAGTTGCCAATGCCCGGATTTCTGAATTTTATGAATACATTTCATAAAAATTTAAATACAGGGTTCTTTTCACGGAGAGAGAGAGAGTGAACAAACAACTTTGGAATGTTTATGGTGGTGTGGTGGACGGTTGTTTTCTATCGCACATAAACCATTTGTGGTTCTAATTTTCTATTTTGGTTTTCTGTTTTCGGCTTCGTTACATGTTCTTGTCTGGCGTCATTGATCGATCTATGTTACAATGTTAAACATTCGGTTCGGTTTGTTGCTCGCATAAACACTTCTTTGATGTATAGGCATTTGGCATTTATATCGAAATAATTTGGAAAATGCATATGCGAATTTTGTAACACAATGCAGAGATCAGTTACACATCAAAACAACGCACCAGCGCACAAGAGTGTTTTAACAATGACTAAAATCAACGAATTAAAAAAATTGCTGGCAATTACAGTTGTAAACTACTTTTGAAGACCTTTGGGAAAGCTTTTTTAAGCAAGGGATAGAATTGATAGAAAAGCGTTGGACTAAGTGTATTGAAGTTTCAAGAGATTATATTGAAAAATAAAAATATAACTGTTCTCTTTCATTGATAGACTAAGAAGTTTCCGAACCGCCCTCGTAAGCATAGACTTGTGTGAAAATGACATGGTGTATATATTTACCCCAACCATAGATGTGGGTAGTGTTCAAACAAAACGTACAGGATATTGAATCGGGTTAATTAATTAGAATGTATTTTTATAATGATTGGTCTATATTTAGCAGGTCAAATGAGCCAAGACTTTTGTATGTAAAACACGAAAACATGATTCGAAATAATGACAGGGTAAAAATACCCTGGATGGGAATATATATCCCCAAAAAGGTAGAGTTCAGTGGTCATTTTGTAGGGTTTCATATGGGCGACCCCGTCCGACAACACTGCTCCGCTCGCTGTATTTTTCTCAATGTTGTTAAACATTTATATATCCTGCATAAAAACACATGTTGTTTGCCGCTAGCTATTCACATTATAAAACTTTTCGCATCGCTTTTTAACAATGATAGAAATGAATTCTTAGTATTTGGTTAAATTATTCGACTATGTATGGAAATCAATGCTTTTAACAAAAAAATTAAATTCTCAGAAAACATATTTTGATTTCAAACTGATTTCGTTTTGATTTTTTCGTCATAGATCCCCTTTAATATTTGAAAATGAAATGGGCACGAGTGGTGCTACGGGCATAACAAATGCCGCATCATCTATGACCGCTGATGGTGGAGGAGGCGGCGTCGGTGAGAGTGTGCGACGTGGCAAAGTTATTGTAACGCAAACAACGACAACGGCTGGTAACACCTTAACAACGCCTGGGGCAGAAAGTGCAGTTTCGAATCAATCCAGTGATGTGGAAGAGATACAACAAATTGATCAAGGGAAAATGTAAGTACATACAAATTGACATATAAAAAATATATATTTAATTAAGTTTTGCAACACACACACAAATACGTGTTGTTATTTTTTTTCTTCTTGCAGGATGAAACAAATGACACGCACCGAAGACCATTTAAAATCACAGGACTTCCAAGTTTGCATTACCATAATTGAGGCGCGACAATTACCCGGCTTAAATATGGATCCGGTTGTCTGCATTCAAGTGGGCGATCAAAAGAAATACACAAGTGTCAAGGAGAGCACCAATTGTCCGTATTACAACGAAGTAAGAATCACGGAAAGGGAGAGAGTGTATGAGAATAATACGAATATAATCAATTATTTGTGTTTGTTTGTTTTTTACAATTCCAGTATTTTGTTTTTGATTTTCATATGCCCCCAGTTATGTTATTTGATAAAATTATTACCTTATCGGTAAGTATGGCGTATAGTAGCAATTAATTAATGATTAATTACCATAATATTTAAAATAAACCTTGGTCGTCAAGGGACGACTGGCTTCGAAATTAATATAACTCTATGGGAATAGCTAACGGTATGAATTTTTTTATCCAGAATTTTCTTAAAAATATTTTTAAACAAAAAAATCATTTTTAATTAATTTTACTGTTCAATAAAATTAAGATTGATGGTAGGGGTGAAATATTTACATTTTTGGGACAATGTTAGTTGATGGGAATATTTGGAACTATGAGATGTGTAGTTAAACTTCTTATATAAGGGATGCCGTAATTTTAAGAAAAAAAAGTAAAGAAAAGACCAAAGTCGGATTTACCACATTCGGTGACCCTTCTATATATGAACCGTCTTCAATCGATACATAAATACGTCATTCGTCAATTTGATTAGAGCGAAGCTAAGAACACCTCATAATATACTTAATAAGGTGCACTATGCAAAATTGCGGGACAGCGGACAAACATTGGGTATTTACGGCACCATTTACATGAAAACCCCCGAACCTATTTTTGAGGTTATATCTAAAGCTGAATCGATTAAAACGAAACTATTTACACTTCATACTACATTTAATACACACCATTCTAGGCTCAAACTGAGTATTTGGTGTACCATTCAAAATTAATTTGGTGCAAAATTTGTATGGAAACTTGGATATATCTGAAAAGATTTCAACAAAATTTAATACACTTTATTCCAGTCTTAATTTGGTATGTCGTGTAAATTTTTTTTAATCGTAAAAAACATTGGTACCTTGATGCACTATCCTGAAATCTGGTATTCCACAGTGATATGTACGGTATTAGATGCGTATACGCTGTGACAAGAAGCATACGCCACGGGCTCCCAAATACAATTTGTCTTAACTATAGTTTAGTAAAAACGATCAATTTTTTTTTTAAATGTTTTCCAAAGGTAGTTATTTGTATTTATTTCTCTTTTGAGATGAGCTACATGATCGAAGTTACAATGAAAAGGAAAGCCAGAGAGATACTACATACCCACCATTATGCGACGCGTTTCGCCGTTGGTTAACCGGTTCATCAGACATATTGGGCAATGTGACTTACAAATGTCGTTACTTGATAAGTTGCATTTATGTCGAATATTGTTGCTAAATTACATCTACGAAATATATTAAATCGTGTCAATTTTCGGACATTTGGCATCACCCCAGAACATCCATTTCGGAGCAGATTTTTCTAGTAGCGACGGACTTTTTTTCCATATAGACCACAATATTTTTTTAAAGATGTGGCTTTAAATGCTAAGTCGCGGATAAGAATCAAAACATGCAATGGGAACCATGGTTCAAGTAGAATTTTTGAGTTTTATGCCTTTTTAGGGCGAAAGAGCATTCATGTAAATGTAGTTATTTTTATGCTACATATGGACATATATTTTTTCTAAGGGAACCCGGAAGTTGGGGTACGTATTTCAGGTTATATCCGGTTCTACAGATCCGATTAATACAAAATGGGTACCATTTTAAAGCTTATACCTTTCCACCTTGATTGGTGATATAAAGGAGTTGAACGGGTACGTCCCCAAAGAATAAAATATATCCCCATAATTAGGATAAAAATACCTACTTCTGGAAAAAATATTCAGAAAAATCTGATCGTCTTTACTAGACTTGTTTCTACAATTTTAATTCTATAAACCAGTAAGCGGAGCAGTATAGTCGGACAGGGCCGACCATATGTGTAGGGTATCACAACTTCCACGAAAATATACTTGTCCAGATTCCCATCACCGTGGGTTATTTTGGCATACTTTTCTTTGGGTCATAATTGCGGCCTCTGGAGCGACCAGAAAACTCGACATTTCATCCCTAAATATTAACTGATCTCTACCATAAACAATAGGAGTCTTCATTGACCAGAACCCATCCTACATGCAAAATTTCGGGTAGATTGACCATTAACTGTGGTCTGTATCGTGTTTACAAATTATAATGGACAGACGGACGGATTTTTGAGATTACATCTCTACAATGAAATTATGATTATTTGTAGAACATTTCGTCCTTCTACTTCGATTAGATTTTCGTTTCGTCGGTAATTTATTAAACCAGACTCCAATTATCACAAGGTGTGATTCATTCATTCTTGCAACATATAAGATTTTATGTGGGATATCCATTCACAAGAAATCGATATTTCAACAGTCCTTTTTTAAATTTTAACCGTTCCTTGTTACTGAACCCCTTTATGTATATATGCGTTTTAATAAACTCAGAATAAATTCGACTAGAATCTTCACCTTTATCGTACAATTTCTGCGAAGAAATTTTTTGCACATCAAACCCGTTTAGTTTGGAGAATGTGTATAATACCAACGAAATACTTAACAGGTAACAGGACCGGTATATGCGTGCTTTGTCGAAACATTGAGGTATACTAACAATTTGGACCTTCCATAAACCGAAAATGCCACATTACATCCACTTCGGTTTGAAAATGATGCTAAGATCTTCAAAGTATCGAAAATGTACCGAGACCCTAATATGTAAAAACAGGGACCTATATTCAAATTATTTTGCAACGAGGTTTATTTGCCTATCAATAACGCGAACAGCGAACCACCCCTGTACAAAACATCGTCTAAGAATTAAAAAAACATTCTAAAACCAGTGAGCGGAGCAGTATAGTCGGACAGGGCCGACCATATGATACCCTACACAACTACCACGAAAAGTAAACTTTCTGCGGTTCTATATTCTGAGCCTGGGCAATATTTCGTGATATTTGCACACTTTTTAACGATTATAGATCTTGAATATTGACCGATCATAATCTAAGTATTTGGTCAGATCCCCTTCACCTTGTAAAATATGTAATAGAGCGACTAGAAAATCTGACAAAAATTACAGTTTTCGGTTCATTGCACCCCGTGAATGAAATCTCTACTTTACAGCAAACTATAGGCGTCGTCCTTGGCCATAATCGGAACTTCCTTTACAATTTCAAAGCGATCAGCGCGACATTTCCGTTCTCCACGTATTACTCCCACATCAGAGTGCATACAACCATATAATTGGTATTAATTTAAAGGGCAAGAACATGCATGCTTATTCTTTTGCCCGACCCCCCTCTCCATGTAAAATTTCACGATGTTCGGACCGTAACAGCGGCCTCTGGAGAGCCCAGAAAAACCGACAATAATTAAATATGGCCCATTTCATCCCCTAAATATTAACCGATCTTTACCAAAACCAATAGGGGTCTTCATTGACCAGAACCCATCCTATATGCAAAATTTCGTGAAGATTGGTCCATAACTGTGGCCTGTATCGTGTTTACAAATGATAATGGACAGTCGGACGGATGGACACACATGTCTAGATCGACTCACCTAGGCGAGATATGACGATCGGTATACTTAAAGGTGGGTTTAGGACCAATATTTCAAGGCGTTACAAACTTTTGGGGCTGCACAAAGCTATAATACCCTGACAACATAGTTGTGTAGGGTATAATGAGTTATATCCTTTTATTGGAGGATATTCAATTCAATACCAATCATCATTGAAGTAGTAGCAAAGTATGTGCAAAACATTCAAGTTATATTTTATATATTCTGATATTGTTATTACGAAAAACACATTTTTTTACAATGAATTTGCATATACTTTCTCCGTCTTTGGGCAAAGTTTTTGGTCTTGCAAAAATAATAAAAATTTTAATATTACATCCATCCCAGGTTGTAAGGTATAGTTATTCAGTGTTGTAAGAACAATTTCGGTTTCAACAAATGTACATTTTATTATTTATTTAATTCGAACCTTCACTAATTCAAGAATGTCTTTAGATACATATATGCAAAATAAAAAGGCTTCAATATAATGTACGTTCATTTGTCAGTCGGTTGAAAATTGTAGAAATTTTGAAATCAAGAATACATCTGACGGGACCCAGGGACGTACATAAGTCTGGCTGGGCCTTCGAAATTATTATTAATATTTCTTATACGTTGTTTTTTAAACATGGCATATTCATACCCCCAAAATATTCATATTACTCCCTCTATTACGCGGTTAATATATGATTTTCTTCTTTACAAGTTCACCAGGTTTCCCTTTTTCCCCCACAGTATGTTAAGTAGATTTATTAATTAATTAACAGACAGTACATGGGTAAAGCGAACATAATAATGGAAAACATTATGCCTTGTTTCTGGTGGTTTCATAAAAATGACATTGACATTGTTTATGTATACGGTGATTTTATTAATTAATTTATGACAATAAGAATACACAACACATCTTCCCTGTGACAGGCGGAAAATACGCAACGCAAAAACACATCTTTAAAGATGCACACGTTTCTTGAAAATCTCAATGAGTGAAATATAAGATACTTAAAAAAGTCGTATACTTTTAAAGTTTCCATTAGAAACATTAATCCTAAAGCTTATTTTTTTATGTAAAATATATGTATGTGTATATAAGTCTTAAATACATGGGAAATTATCCTCCAACTTCTAACTATGAAACATATGAGTAAATTCACGGGATTGGGTTGCAAATAAAAGCACGCGCTACAAAAATATCTTTAGTAGGAAAACAAATGAGAACCGAGCGTAAGAAATTATTATTTCTGGGAAATTGGAAAAATTATGTCTCATGTGTTGGCATTTTTTTGTATGCATAAAATTCCTGTTCGACAAGTCATGAGAATTACTTACAATATTTGTTTAAGGCAGGCAGAAAATTCCCAAAAGTTCTAGTGATCAACTTTGTATTTAAATTTGTTTTTAAGTATACACAAATAAAACATTAATAAAAAATGCACGGTCCCAAAACTTGCTTTCTAGAAGTAGAATCGAATCATTTTAAAGGAAAAGACCTGTAGATTATTTATAGAAGAAAATACCTTCTGTCAATAGAGACATTCATATGTACAATATCATGTCGAAATCGGAAATCTGAAGTCTATGAAACATAACATGTCAATTGGGCATAATTGGGTTCTTTGATGTACCTTTTGCATCAAAATTATGTATGGGAGCTATATGTAAATCTGGAAGGCTTGAGCAAACGTAACACACAATATATGCTGCAGTACAGTGTCCTGTCCAAAATTTAATCTCGATCTGTGCACAATATGCATGAACTCAGACTATTATATATACAGGTTATATTTACATCTGAATCGATTTCAATGAAACTAAACTAACGCCATTCTAGACTCAAATCAAAACTTTGTGCAAATTTCGTGTATATGAAAGAACATTGACGAAACAAATAGTGAAGTTATATCTAAATTTGAACCGATTTCAACAAACTTTTCGTTTTATAGTGAACTGAATTTGCATCAATAGGACGAAAATATCAATGGGAGCTTTATCTAAATCTGAACCGATTTCAAAGAAAACATTTTAGACTCAATTCAATATTCTATGCAAAATTTCGTCTCAATAATGAGAGTTTAGGGTAAAATATAACTAAAATCAGACATGAATACATATGGAAGCTATATCTGAAAAATTATCACACATCATTCTAGACTTAATAAAGGGCTTTGATGCACCATTTGCATAAAATCGGACGAAAATGTATATGGAAGCTATATCTAAATCTGAACCGATTTTCACTTAATATACATCACTTTAGACTCAATACACTACGGTATTCCAAATTTCGTCTGAATCGGACCAAGTATGAGAGTTTAATGTACCATTTAAAGGAAATCGGACTAACATTTATATGGTACCTATATCAAAATCTGAACTGGTTTCAACAAAACTTTCTACACGTTATTCTAGACTTAATTCAGTGCGCTATGCTAAATTTGCACCAAAGTCCATATATATATTTTGATTTTTTAACATACAATTTTGCAATACAGCGTAATGAATTGAGAGATAAAATCGAATGAAAATTTATTTGTGTTAAGTTTCGTGTAAAATGTTGGACTGTCAGTACAACCTATTATATATATATAATATGTGTTAGATGTAGCTTCACCACACTGTGGTACTATATATATTCTATTCATCCGTCCATGTATTTTTTAATGTATAGGCCAATGGTGCACCAAAGTCCCTATATATATATATATATATATATATTTCGATTTGCCCGAAATTTGGAACATCGTAATGAATTAGGCTTAGAAATATGTGTGTTAAGTTTCCTGAAAATCGATTCAGATTTAGATCTAGCTCCCATATATATTTTCGTCCGATTTAAGGTAAATGGTGTACCAAAGTCCCTTAATATATTTCAGTTTGCACGAAATTTGACACAGCGTAATGAATTAGGTCTAGAATGATGTGTGTTAAGTTTCGTGAAAATCGATTCAGATTTAGATATAACTCCCATATATGTTTTCCTCCGATTTTTGGTAAATGGTGTACCAAAGTCCCTTATAATTTAGTATCGGTTGCAGAATGATATTTTTTTTGGATCCAATTTCATTTTACTGGTCTTTTAAAAATGCGACGTCTGTTAGGATTCATCTGTTGAATATACCCAAAGTGGTGAGGGGTATCATATAGTCGGCCCCGTCCGACTTTAGAGCTTTCCTTACTGGTTTTAATTGATTTCCTAAAAACACCAAAAACTGGACCGATATTGGCGACGCATGGTAGGGTGGAACATACCCAAAGTACTGCATTTATAGGGCACAGTTATATGAAGCCATCACCAACGTACCCAGTTTTCATTTCAGGAGGTTGGATGAAAGCTGCTGTTTCAATATGAAAATTGGTATGATTTGTATTATAACGTCCCTTGAGGCTATATATCGTGTTGAAATTACCGAATATTTGTAGTAATTATTATATGAGGTGCTATGCCTAATTGGAAACTGATATAGCTCTATTTAGAAACTAAAATTTTTACATCAGAATACATTTCTCTTTTCTATGCCTAATACCAATTTACAGCGAATTCGGTTGAAAAGCGTGCTTAAGAACCCCCAAAATACCGAAAATTTGGGGTACTCTGTTATATTCATATTTTTTGGTGGAGAGATTTGGTATATATTAAGAACTCAAAATACAGCCAAATCGGATGAAAAATACGATCAAAACCACCAAAATACTGAAAATTGAGGGGGTACCGTTATATGGGGGCTACCAGAAAAAGTGGACCTATATTTATATTTTTTTGTGAAAAAATGTAATACCCAATAAGAATCCAACATACCAAATTCGCATAAAAAATGCGCTAAAGTGGAGGGTACCCTTTTATGGGAGCTTTGCCTAAACGTGGACCAATATAGCCCATCTTAAAACTTGACCTGCCTGTATACAAAATTTTGACGATCTATCCCAATTCGTTTAGAGGCTAGAGTGATGACAACAGACAGACGGACATCGCTAAATCGTCATAGAATTTTACGCTGATCAATAACATGTATATATATACTTTATAAGATCGGAAATGATTATTTCGATGGGTTACAAACGGAAAAACAAAATTAATATGCCCTCCATACTAATATATCTATTAAATAATTTTTAATTTAAAAACTTTTTCTTGTATATCAAAAGGTCTTGCAGTCAAGAAAGTTTCTGCGTACCGGTACATTAGTGGGCTCATTCAAAATTGATTTGTCAACGGTTTATGATGCTCCGGGTATATATTGTGATAAACTATTAAATGTTTTGCTATGTTTTTTTTTTCCTTAATGTTACCCTAGATAGTTAAGTGTTCTATCCTGAAAATTAGAATCTGTTTAATGTTTAAAGTTTCTTAAATTATATTATATTTATTTATTATAATAACGATTTTTTTACTCTGTTCTGTTATGGCAACATAAATTTGTAACAATAACAAAGAAGGCATATCTCTTTCGCGTCAAAAAACGATTTGTTTTCATTCCAAGAACGGCAAATTAAAAATGTATTTTTATGTTAATTTGATAATTGGCGTGGCGTTTTCTTGGAATGATAAACGATGGAACATTGTTATAACGAACGCAAAAAAGTTGAACTCACTTATTCGAAAAAATGAACGGATATCAATAGTAATGGTACTCTTTTGCAAACAAGCGAAATTCGTTATGCCCAAGTTCAACAGTTAACTCCTAGAATGTATATAAAGGAAACAAAACCTAAGTTTATAATTTAAACAAGAAATGAATGTTCTCTTTCAATCCATTTACATTTCCTTTTCTCTTGTTCTTTTCTTTTTCTTTCCGTTTCCCCTCTTTCAAACCAATTTTTTCAACTCAAAAACAAAACTGCCTACAAACTTCCCGAAAAAAAAACAACGTAAACAAACCCACCATACAAAATTTCCCACAAACGTTACACGCCACAATGAACTTGCTAAACAACAACAAAAAATACTCTTTAAAAATAACAACACCACCAACAACAACATAAATTGTCAACACTGTGTTTTGCGCAAAAATTTCGAAATTAAATTTTTGCCGAACCAACCAATAACCACCAACCATTTAACAATCCATCAAACCAAACAAAAAAGGTCTTACAAAGCCGCAGTGTTTTAAGGCCAAACAAATTAATTGGCAATTTTAAATTGGACGTAGCAACTGTCTGGACCCAAAAAGGTAAACAAAACAAAAAAGAAAAATACTAGAAAACAGCGATGACAACCCGGAAAATGCTTAACACTCACATATTTTCACATAAACCACCAACACAAAACCAACACCAACAAAATTCCATTTGTTCCGCTCTTTACTTTTTAGACAAAGAACTCATAGACGAAAGCCATAAGAACCATAAACTTGTTAATAGTTTTAATGGAAAAGGATATTTGAGCCGTATTTTGAAGCTTTGGGGTGTTATTCGAGAATTTGAGAATTTTAAGCTTAAGTGTATAAGTGGTCAGTGAAAGGAAAATGGTTTCATATTTTTTAAAGATATTTTATTTTCCTTGAAATATTTGAAGTATTTAACAGGTTTATGAAATTAATACATTTTAACCTGAATAGTAATGGTGTTATAGAAAGGTGACAGAATAAACATAAAAATTGTGCAGGCTTTTCTTTACAAATTGCATCGAAATACTATTTAGGAGTCAGGAATTGACAAATACCACCCCTTCACACACTAGGAATTATTCCGCAGAGAAAATATCGGTACTGCAGATGGGCATTCTCGCCCCTCAAGCGGTTCAATCTTTTTCGGTCCGTTCCTCACAAAAAAAGGTCCTTCCATTGGTTCCTTTTCGTTGGTACACATCAGTTCATTTCAGGTGGACCAATTTTGAACCAAGCATCGATTTATATGAACTTTCATTTTCCGTCATCTCCGCAAAAAGAACTATGTCGTTCCGTTAGTTCCATCGTTCATTGGTACACATCAGTTCATTCGAGGTGAACCAATTTTGAACCACGCATCGCTTTAAATGCACTTTAATTTTTTTTTTTTTTTAATTTGGAAAGAGCTAGTTTGCAAATAACTTCTGTAGACCGTCCAATAGAATTAAGAGACAAATAATGTTACAAGAATTGATGATATGAAGCAAATGAAACGAGAGCAAAAATTAAAAATTTGATCAAAAGGAACTAGGTGACGAAAGTCATCTAGTTCCGATTGGTACTAAGTCTAAGTACCAATCGTTACTTTTGCGCAATATTTCCTTTGAACCAGTTTGGTCTGGAGCGACACAATTCTTATCGGTATTAAGTACGATACTTTGGTTCATTTAGTTCCCTTTGCCCCGGTCGTTACTTTTTTGCCCTCGTTTACCGATTGTAAATCTATGAATCTATTTGAACATTTGAAGTTCATTTATAATTAAAAGGAATTGATTGATATTTTAAATTCGCCAAGCACTTGTGTACAACGTCCAATAAAATGTTACACGAATTGATGAGAAGAAACGAGAGCAAAACTAAACGATTGTGTAAAAAAAAGAGAGCAAAACTGAACGAAAGAACCGGACCTAGGGCCGATTGTTCCTTTTGCAGAATATTTCCTTTGAACTAGTTCGCTCCGAAGCGACACAACTCTAATTTGTACTAATTACGGTACTATACTCCGTCTAAATCCTTTTGCTGCAGTCGTTACTGAGTTGGTCCCCATTAACGTAGTCCTTTTTTATAAAATCAATAGATATATACTTTCCACTCAGGTGAACCAATTTTGAACTTTCGAAGTTTATTTAAATTTTGAAGGAATTTATTGATAAAGGAAAGAAACAACTAATGTTACATCAATTGATGAGATGAATAAAAAATAACGGGAGCAAAAATGAACGATTGGATCAAAATAAACAAGAGCAAAAGGAACGACTGAAGCAAAAGGAACCAATGAGCCAGACCTACAAATTTACTCGGTACGATTATTTAGTTTGTTTTGTTCATTTTGCTCCAGTCCTTAATTTTTGTCCCTCGCTCACTTAGTTCGTTTTGATTCACTCGTCCATATATATATATATATATATATATATTGGCCAGCTTCAGGAATGAGATTTCCCAATTTTATAGTCCATCGATTGATAGCTTTCAATTTTGTTTTTATGAACACTCCAAATATTTGGTGATGACTTAATATGTGAGAATTATAATACGAAGTACACATTTGTAATTTTTGGCATGTTACGATATTTATTGGCCAGATCGCATTTTCGTAGCAACGAATATAAATTAAATTAATGAAGGTCGATTTAATAAACAGTAATCGACTACTTTGGCGTTTTTATTTTTTGTTTGGTTTCTCAAGAACTTTTTTCTATTAATTCATATATTAACCGCAATTCGATAAAGTGTGGAACTGTTGGATCCACCATGATTCGCTTAACTTTAGTCCACTATATGAAGACAAAAACCATGTCAGGTCGCCTATCTATTATCGTATATATCAGTAAATCTCCTAACTCCACAATCAATTGTCATGAAAATTAAGAGTTGTTTTCACGTAGCTAAAATCAGTTTGGTGCAACAGTTTCGTTTTACCCATAACCAAGCTGTCACGCCACTGTTATGTATACAATTTCCCCAAATGAATCTGAATCCACATTTCCTAATATATTCTGGTGCAATTTCTAGTACACAGTTGATGGCATTTTCATGGTAATCCTAATTTTAAAAGATTGGGTTCAAATTTTTTCTGACCAACATTCATGAAGAAAATTACATTGAAAGAATTGAATTACATTGCGTACTTCCTTACAGCGATGTGCTATGTTGAAGTCAGACGCGTCTGTTTTGAAATTTTTTCCATAATAATAATCCTGTTATTTCCACTACCCTATTAAAATTTTTTCGAAATGTAGTCCAGTATTTTTATTTGAATATTTTTATGTGGACTGTAACTCCTTCGCGAATCATAAATTATTGGGAGGAAAATCTCCTTCGGGTTTTCTTAGACGTTTTTTCTCCTTTTAGTATTTCTACAAACGCGAGAAGTATAATATCCTAGTACAGTATCCGCAGTTGTCTTCTGAATCGCTGAATCGTCTTCACTACCTTATAGTCGTTTCGTGAATTCCTAACAATCCATGAAACAAGTCGAGATTAACCAACAAGTAGTGATTAATAAATCGTCGTATGGTTTTGCCAGATTGGTTTCGAAGATTTTAGTAGGATAATTATGGGGGCCCAAGCAAAATCCCATAAAAGGTATTCCACTATTTGTCACTATTATTATTCTCCGTGGCGGAGACACACACCTAATGTGCTGATAAATAACAAAGAAATATGCCATATGCGGATGGCGATTACGACGCTATTGAAGTTTAGATGTCGCTTTGTGCCCTTCTATGCGAAATGCAAATATTTACTGCAGCAATAAAATCACTAAATAATAAAGTGTGTCATAACGAATGGATAAATTATGATACCGCTCTTTAGACTGTGTACAGACTTCATAATCCACTCGATTTGGAACGTCAGTTTCATAGTGTATACGTTAAAATAATCGTGTTCAAAAATCCAGTGGATTATATTTAACGTATACGCTATTGAATTGGCATTTGAGATTGAGTGGATTTCGTAAAACTAGTTTTATGTGATTTTGTATGTATACCCATAAATACCCTACTTATCCATATTGAGTAGGGTATTTGTGGAGATTCAGTAAAATCACATAAAACTATTTCTTTTAGCTTTCCGCTAAGTGTATGTCAGCTACAATTTTATTTTTTATTTAAACATTTTCGACATTCCTACGACAAGAAAGTTGGAAATTATTTTTCGATTAAAATAGTGTTAAAATCTGGATGTTGTGAAGTAAATGCCTGAGAAAAAATGTATACATTTCAAATTTCCATATGTAGTAAATCCTTTGTCATTGGTTAATTAAAGGTAATAAATGGTGTTTAAAAAAATTTACTTCAATTTAAAACTCAAAACATGGTTCTTATGGCTTAACAAGAATAAGTAAGACAATATATATGCCTAGATTCCTTCTCACTTCTTCTGTTCGCATGAAAAATCTAATAATTTCTCTACGCCTGCATTTTTTTATTTTTTAATGTCACAAAGTGGTATGCTCGCACATTTTTGTCTAATCGATGTATTTCTCTTATGTAATAACACATAAAAATAAAAATAATTACAAATACATTTTCAGACCATCAATTCTATCACAAATGGGCTCTACTGACCGATCCTGATGATTTTTACAGTGGACCAAAGGGATATTTGAAATGTGATATAGGTATTATAGGTAAAGGTGACACGGTTAAGGTGCCACAGAAATCTGAAAAAGATCCTGATGATATTGAAGCGTAAGTAAAGTAACAAAATTATCACACTTTTATTAATATAAGTTATTTCTCTATCCCAGTAACCTCCTATTGCCTGATGGTGTACCCATCGAAAGACAACGAGCTAAATTTATAGTTAAAATTTATCGGGCAGATGGTTTGCCACGCATGAATTCTTCTATCATGGCAAATGTAAAGAAAGCCTTGACAGGTGAAGCCAAAGATTTAGTTAGTCCCTATGTCCAAGTGTCCTTTGCTGGACTATCTGGTAAAACGACGGTAAAGAAAAATGCCTATGCACCGGTGTGGAATGAACAGTTGGTATTTACGGAAATGTTTCCGCCCTTGTGTCAACGAATTAAGGTATGTATGAAAACTACAAAAATGGTCCTTCGAGCTAGAATTAATCATTAATAACATTAAATTCTATAACTTACTTTAGATCCAACTAAGAGATGCTGATCCAATGAAACCCTCCATAATCGGCACACATTATATTGATTTGAAACAAATCTCCAATGATGGTGAGAAGGGTTTTTTGCCCACATTTGGTCCTTCGTTTATACACTTGTATGGCTCAACACGTGACTATACGATTTTGGATCAACATTCAAATTTAAATACTGGCCTGGGTGAAGGTGTTAGCTATCGTGCCCGCTTATTAATTGCCATACGTACTGAAATTACAGAAAACATCGAATTGACCACCGAAAAAAATGTTGAACTAGAACCCACCCAATTAATATCGGAATCAAGCTATTCACGAAATGAGGAATTCTTTTTGTTCGGCAGCATTATTGAGGCATCAATGATCGATAAGAAAATCAGTGATAAAACTGTATTCTTTGAATTGAGTATGGGTAATGCAGGCAATTCCATTGATGGTCACAATGAAAGTTTCTCCACCTTGGCGGATGATGGAGAAGATGGTTGTTTATTGGAATCGGTGGATACCACGTCATTTAGTAGTACCACAAATTCCTGTAAGCCCATTTCACATGACAAAAGTCATTATTATCTGCCATATTGGGATTATAAGCCCTGCATGGATGTTCGCTGTACATTGCCCGATTTGCGTCGCCGCATGTATAATAGTAACATGTTGGCGAAAATGGCTGAGAAATATGTAAGTAGAAACATTATTCAAAAAGGGACTAGTATACATAAAAATGGAATGGGAAATTTCAGACTAAACTAGAAAGTTATATGTATCATCTGATAATTAAAAAAATCTACAAGTTCCTCAAGATATAGATGACAGTTCGGCTCAAATACACTAAGAGATCTATTATGTAGAATAGACATATATACATAAACATATTTCAAAGAGGCCTTCTGTAGAAGACTTTAAGACTTAATTCTCCTATATATTTCTCTTCATTTTATTTTCTGCAATTAAATAGGAAGACGGCTTGGCTGAAACCAAACAGTTAATTGAAAATGAAGACCCCAAGGCAGAAGTTCGTCTTCGTTCTACATTGGAAGATTTGGCCTCGGCTTGTGTTCGTTACCAGTCCATAACCAAAAGTAACTGTACCGGACCAGGTAGCGGCAAAACTAAGCTGGATAAAGAACGTATGAAGCTATGTATGAGGGAAATTGTAAGTAATGAATAATTTTTGGAATAAAATTATTTTATTTGAGTTATTTTTCTATGATTACTGAGTTACTGAGTTATTTCTATGATTACTGAGTTACTGAACTACAATCAACGCAAACATCTGAAGCTAGAATCTTAAAATTGTATATTGCGCCTCTAAAGTTGAGACTGAGGATTGCACCAAAAGTAGTAGAAATTACCTTCTTCACTACCCGTGAAATTTGATACAGTAGGGTATTTATGGCGAGGCAAGCCAAACCCCATAAAATGTGTTCCACTAGTTGTCCCACAAACCAATTGTGAATATCAATCGCAAAGTCCCAAGCCATAAACCTATAATGTATATAACGTCACTGGTGAAATGTAGATGTCGGTTTGTCTATAACGTCACTGGTGAAATGTAGATGTCGGTTTGTGGTATGATTGGCAAAGTTGCTTAATGTGTATAAATGTATATGCTAGTAGCAGAGACACTGACCACAAGATAACACAAGCAGTGTGATATCGAAGACATGAACATATATATCAAAATTCCTACATTCATTTAGTCCAATGTAGATGCCGTTCACCTAGCTCCAACTAAATTAAATAATTTATGTGATTTTGCCAACATCCCCATTAAAACCCTACTACTTCCACACAGTAATATCAAATATATATTACTTGTAATTTATAAACGGAATTTATTAGAGTGTAAAGATATACGATTTTCGAAGCAAGAATCAGGTAAAAGTGGAAAAGGATCCGACCAAAGTCCTCAATTCGTCTATAGCTACCCATGTCGTCACCGAAGCCTAGACAATGGGTGGCCCCGGTACTGAAGCCAGGCCAGGATGGCAGCAAATATGAATCTTACAGGCAGATTTCACTTTTATCCCAGTAAAGAAGACTCTTGAGGCATTACTCCTCCCCAGCATTAGGGAAAGCTATGCAGTTGCTAATCATCACCATGGGTTCCGAAAGCAACAAAGCATGACAGAAGTGGTCGCGCCATAAAACAGTGTTGTTAGGGCATGACCTATTAAAAGCCTTTGATAGTCATGTCACATGGTTTGAGAAAGCTGAGAAAGCTTCCTTGCGGTCAAGTTTGAAACGTTGGATAATCATGGCGTCGGGTCCAATATTTGAGGACATATGTGTAACGTTCAACGCCTATTTCGCCACGAAATCTTCGACCACATTGTTCACCACATGGACTGCGGAAATGAGAATTCCATTCGATAGCATAAACAAGTCGTCCGCGCAAACCAAAAAAATTTATACACATTGACTATATTTACAGGTCAATTCCTAATTGCACATTCTTTAAACGATAATATTATTATTTCAATTACAGGAAAGTTTAGGTAATCTAGCACGGAATCTAAGAGCATTGGTGACCAAAAGTTCATTGAAGGAACGTTTCAAACAGGCTCAAACCTATATGCCCAAATTAAAATTCCTAATAGATGATGTAAGTACTTCTTCACATATATATTTTGAATAGTTATTAACAAAAACTTCTTTTAGCCTCAACATTCATTACCCGACATCTTTTTGTGGCTCATTGCCAATGGTAAACGTTACTGCTATCATCGAATGTCGGCCAGGGATTTAATATATTCTCCCACTGAGGAGGAAGCTGGTATACATTGTGGTAAAATTCAAACGCTGTTTTTACGTTTACCCGGTAAACAGGCCTCGGGAACTGCTAGCTGGTTTATACAAGCTAAATTGTCGATTTATTTGTGGTTGGGTGTGGTCAGCCAGAAGGGCCACTTCTTTGAGGGTTTACCCATTGGTTATGATTTGTCACATGAGTTACGGAATGCTGAGCGGCCAGGGGCAATGGCGCCCAATAATATTCACTATTTGGAGAAGTCGGTAAGTTGGATTTGGAGATTCCTCTTTTATGGAACTGACTGTGAGTGACCTTCAATTACTCACTGTCAGTTTCATAAAAGTAGAATGTTGAGGTTTGGATGAAAGGTCAGGCTCGCCAATTTTCAAACTATCTGTTTCTGACCTTCGAATTAAGAATCAGAAATGGTTAATGAAATTATTCTTTTCAGACCTTCCAATTGCGAGCCCACATTTACCAGGCCCGTTCCTTGATTGGTTCCGATGCATCGGGCCTCAGTGACCCCTATGCCACCGTTTATATCACCGAATACGCCAAAACCACCCAAGTCATTGAGGAGACACTCAGCCCCACCTGGGATGAATTGCTGGTCTTCGATGAAATTTTAGTTTATGGTACGAAGGATGAAATCAAGAAAAATCCACCCACCATTATTATTGAAATATACGATCAGGATAAAGTGGGAAAATCCGAATTTATTGGTCGAGCTATAGCTAAGCCTCGAGTGAAACTTCGAGAAAATCCCTATGTTACACCCTCATTGGAATGGTTTGATATTGTGCGGGGTCCGGATAATGCCGGAGAACTATTGGCCGCATTTGAAATGTTGGAATTGGGTTCACCGGATATGCCGAGGCTAACAGAACCCAAAAATACTCCAGAAATTTGTGAAGGAAAGTCAAATGACCGGAATAATATTCCACCACAGGATACCATATTCCCAGTACCGAAGGAGGTGAGACCCCACTTGGCCAGATTTCGTTTGGAGGTACTCTTTTGGGGTTTAAGGGATTTAAAGAGAGTACACTTTATGTCTGTGGATAAACCCCGCATTGACGTGGAGTGTTCAGGGAAAATATTAAGTTCGAATATCATACAAAATGCCAAAAAGAATCCCAATTTTCCGAATATGCTGAAATCGATTGAATTGGAATTGCCACTGGAGGAAACCTATGCTCCGCCCATAACCATACGTTGTGTGGATTGTAGATCTTTTGGACGTTATACCCTGGTGGGTACACATCAGATTACATCCATACATCGTTATTTGTATAAGCCACCACCCAAAGAAGATATAACCAAATATAAGACAATTGGGGGCCAAATAATATTATCGGCTCCATTTACGGAGGAGACCTATAATAATCTGGTCGATGGCTTTGGTATGCAACCGATGATGGATTCATTGCAGCAGGCCAATATGAAGGATTTCTATGGTAATCGAAGATCATCGTGTGATCAGTTTACCTTGTATGGTGCGGCGTGTGTAACCAAAATGTGGGTAAACTAAATTTTTGTAGGGAAAGATTTTAATTTTTGAAGTTATTTTCAGGGTCAAAAAACAAACAACGAAAAAGAAATCCTCACCGCGCAGCATCAACAACTCCATAATGGGTGATCAGCAGGATATCGATGATGAGTGCAGTCGTGATTGGTGGACCAAATATTTCTGGTCCTATGAACGTTTGATTGATAGCGCCAAGGCCGAGAAAGCCCTTACAACGACCGATAAATATCTAACACCACCCACAAATGTGCAAACACAAGGCGTTAGCAAATTCGGTTCGAAATTTGTACAAAAACTCAGCCCCAAGGGTATGACCAATGCGCTGGGTCGCAACAACAAACAAGACCATAGCATCTCGCCCTGTTCGGCCAAAGCCAAGCCGCTGAACAACAGCACGGCGTTGTGTCAGGTAAGTAATGGACAAGCGAATTCGTCAAAACGAATTCGTAGTGTGGCACGTCGTGCTCCTCACTTTCAGATCTATGCTGGTGACCTGGAGGCGCAGATCGAATTTAATAATTTTCGTGATTGGCTACATTCATTTCCCCTGTATCGGGGCAAGAAAACGGGCGATTCAACGGAAGATGATAATCGCACAGTGGGCTTCTTTAAGGGAGCCATTAAAGTCTATCGCCTGCCACCACCCAAGGGCATTGATTATCCTGTACCCAATTTACCTGCCAATGAACCCATCCATGTGCTTGTGCGAGTGTATATTGTAAAAGCAACCGATTTACATCCCATGGATTTGAATGGTAAAGCCGATCCCTACATTGTCCTCCATTTGGGCAGTAAACGTATCTCCGACAAAGACAACTATGTTAGTAAGCAGCTGAACCCTGTCTTTGGTAAATGTTTTGAGGTGGAAGCCACCTTTCCGCAGGATTCAATGTTGACAGTGCAAATATTCGATTGGGATTTGGTGGGATCGGATGATTTAATTGGTGAGACACGTATCGATTTGGAAAATCGTTTCTACAGCAAACACAGGGCCACCTGTGGTTTGGCTCTACGCTATGAAGAGTAAGTATTACGTTCCGCAAACAAAAATTAACTCAAAACCTCCTTTTTCTATAAACATTAAATAACATATATTTTTCTTGCTTCCCCCTCCCCCAAAAAAATTAACAATTTCCTCTTCCCATCCCTTTTCCTTAATTCCACAAACCGCAGTTGTGGTTACAATCAATGGCGTGATCCCATGAAACCGACGCAAATCCTATCACGCCTCTGCAAAGAAAATAAATTGGATACCCCACATTATTTTCAAGATCGCGTGGCTATTGGCAAGTACTGTATGACTTTCTCCGATGAGGAGGTTATAGCCTGGAATGGTCCCAGTACTTGCCGTAACCGCGATGAACATTTGGCCCTAGCTGTCCTACATCGTTGGAGTGAAATACCAAGTGTTGGTTGTAAGGTGGGTTTTCTTTGTCGTTTTTCGTTCCGCAAATGTGCGTGAGTGAGTGAATGAATGTCTTTCCGTGTGCTCTTCTATCCTCCACTATCAATACTACCTAATACTACTTCTATTTTTTTCCTTCAATGTTTTTAACTCTAACTCATAAACTTTTTTAATACTAAAAATTCTTAACTGAAAAATCCATGTATTTTTTTCCAAATGGTAATGCTCTGTTTTCGATGTCATCTTATTGGTATTCATTCTGACAAACGTCTACCTTTTTGAAATCTTTTTGTATTCCTTCCTCCTTGTCGTCTGAATTGTAAGCATAGCTCAAAAGTTGATAATGATGAGGTATTTTTTCTGGGGAATCATTCGAGGTACAACCTGGGATATTTGTAAATATTTGTGTATGTTTATGTTCAAAATACTGCATGTATGAAAAATAAATTGACATTAAATTTTTACTAAAAATTTTTTTAAAAAATATATGGTATAAAAGTTTGGAAGCACAATTTGTTAAAAATTACAGATTCCAAAACTTTTTTATATATTGTCAGCAATCAAATTTGTAGTTGATTTTGCTAGACAATAAAAACCTTAATATTAAAATAGACCTGAAGGGATAGAAAAATCGACTTCCGACTAATCGATTTCATGTATTAAAAAGTCGATGTCGATTTTTAATCTTTGAGGAAATCGCAAAGGCGACTTTTCAAAATCGACTTTCGATTCATAAATACTTGATATATTATCATGAAACACAATTCATGGAGCAAAAGGAAAGAAACATCGATAACGGAATGTTAGTTCATTCCAGAACGACACATCTCTAGATTTCGCATTATTCGGTAAAAGTCGAAAATCTATTTTGAATAGGTTTATCAAAATCGAAAGATCGATTTTTTAGTCAAAGTCAAAGCAAAAATCGAAAAGTCTAAAAGTCGACTTTTGCGCTCGACTACGTATCCCTACTAGAAACTCAACCACCCTCTAAAAGACATAATATCTTAATAAGTAACATACGTATCCATCCATGAATTTATATACGATACTATGAAAGTTACATCATGTTTATTTTGGATAGCTCAAGAACCGTCTACGTCAGCATTAAAAACCAATTTTACCTAAATAAACTTCTAATATGATGAGCTTAAATGCATTAATGGTATATGCATAATCACTAGATTTTGACATAGAAGAGGACCATGGGAACGGAATTCAGTATTCCGAAAGTTTGTAGGGGCTGTGAAGCGCAACGGTTTCAGGCAGTAATAAATATTATAAAATTATTTTGCAGACAAATTTTAACGTTTTTTTGTGATTAATTTTGGATTTAATATTGCGATACAGCATTTTGCGGTGCTCACTGTAGCTCGAAAAACATTGAACCGGTCATAATATCATGGATTACTAAGGCCAAAATTTGCATTTTTTAAATCACGTAATTCAATGAAAGATGTTGTGGTACTTAAAACCCATCAAATATATGATCCATACTGTCGTTTTCAAGCTATAGTGGTCGGGACCGTTAAATGGGGATATACCATGTATAAACATTTGGAGGCAAGAAAAGTTTGGATAATCTACGTTTCGGATAGTATTGCAAACAAAATTGAATTCAAGTTTTGGGGAAAAATAAATAAAACCAGTGAGCGGAGCAGTATAGTCGGACGGGGCCGACCATACGATACCATACACAACTACCACGGAACTCTTGGATACACTATCAACTTCGCGGGTCTATATGCTTCACGAGTAAATATATATGCCATAGAACACAAATTTTGTAATTTTTCACGCAAAAGTCAGGATCAATTTGACCCGCTAAATAATGACCGATCTTTAGCAAAACAGGCATGCTTATTCTTTGGCCTGATCCCCTTCTCCATGCAAAAATACGCGATGTTTGGACCATAATTGCGGCCCCTGGAGCGACCAGAAAATCAGACATAAATAAAGTTTATGGTCCATTTCATCACCTAAATATTAACCGATCTTTTCCAAAACCAATAGGGGTCTTCATTGGGCAGAACCCATCCTACATGCAAAATTTCGTGAAGATTGGTCCATAACTGTGACCTGTATCGTGTTTACAAATTATAATGGGCAGACGGACTGACGAACCCACACATGTCTAGATCGATTTAGCTAGTCGAGATATGACAATGGTGGGTCTAGGACCAATATTTCGCGGCGTTACAAACTCTTGGGGCTGCAAAAAGCTATAATACCCTGACAACATAGTTGTGTAGGGTATAAAAACATGCTTTGAAAGTTTCTGAAAAAATTTAATTACAAAATGCTGACCCTGGCTAGTCCTTGAAAAAATAATTAAAAAGCGAAGCCTATAAACCTTGTAAAATATAATAAGAAATAAAAACGTCATTCTGGCAGACACCCAGTTTGAGCTGGGACCATGAAGATGTCTAAAATCCTCAAAAATTGTCTTTAACCCTTTATGGCCCAATGTTGCCCACAGGCAACAAAATGTTTTAGATCTTATATTTAATACGCTGCAAGTAAATGTATACTTTTTGGATTATATATGTTAAGAGCCGATTATGGACGACACATATCAAAAGAAAATTCTAAAAAATTCAAAATGTTGACCAAGTTATATGCTTTTAAATATAGAGATCAGTGCAAAAATATGTACAGTACCAAATTGTGTATACAGTCCAAAATATTTAAATCGCTTCGTATTCGAAATGTACAAATTGTACCCTCTAAATTGTTGTTGAGTCATTTAAAAAAGAAACTAAAGAATAATTAAAAGTGATTTTTTCGTCGATATTGCATTTGCTTTTGTTGATATTGGAATTTTATTTTCGGAAAAAAAGGTACTGTATCTCTCGAATGCAAGGATTTAGCGACGTCAAATTTTGTTTATATGCTATTTAGAATAGTTACATTAAATCTGTGCACAGAAAATAGTTCTATTATCACGGGTAAAAATTCGGGCCACAAAGGGTTAAATAATAAATAATTCACCATTACAAGCCCTGAATAGTCATTAGAGAACACATCTAAGATTCTAAGCAAATATGGTGTTCAACTCAGCGCCCTTAAAAATTTCGAAAATTACAATATTCTTCCTGTGTACTCTGAGGATATATTGACCAAAATATATGTCCATACCATATGGTGGAGTGTATATAAAATTTGTCACTCCGTTTTTAACAGCTCGAAATATTCACCGGAGAACCTATTAAGTAAATATATTCTTGATCAGATTAAAATTTTATGTCGATAATGCATGTTAGGGCTAGAATTGAAAATGGGATATATCGGTCCACGTTTCGGAATAGTCGTCATCATCCTATTGGAAATGACAAATATTGGTCCAGTTTTTAGGGTAGCCCCCATATAACGGTACCCCCGATTTTTTTGACACGTCAGCTATCAGATCTACATTATCAATGTTGGCCATGATATTAAGAGTCCCCATATAAAAGTACTCTTAATATATTTCGATAGCTTTGGTCACATGTTTCTACCTAATTAGTAGTAATTTGTTATTTTGGGTTGTGGTATGGTAGTAAATATTTTTACTAAAAATTATCAATATTGGTCCAGCTTTTAGGGAAGCTCACATATAACGCTACACCCCAAAGATGGCTTCAACAAATTTGGGAGCAATTTTATTTATTTTTTTTTAAATATCTGCATTTTTGGTATCTTGGGACGTGTTTCAGCCAATTTAGCAGTATTTTTATATTTTGTATTCTCATTGTGTAGAAAATCTCCCTACCAAAAATTATCAAGATGAAAATTTAGGAGATGCTTCCTGGGAGTGTGTATTTTAAAATAAAAAAAACAATAAAATTATATAATTTGTTCTATGTTTGAGTTCACCCATATTTTACAAGAATACTGTAAAAAGTTTTTAAAATGTGTGATAATTAATTTTTGGATTTTCCCCGCTATATTTGAATTTCGCCCACTGTGCGATATGACTGTAATTTATTATAAAGGCTTATGGAAGGCTGACTTATATATATATATATATCCTTTTGTATTCAACATAATGCACTTTACCCCCTGTGCCGCAGTTTGATGTTAATAGTAACTCATTGTAATTGCATATTATTTTCTATTAAGACCTCTTAACCGAACGAGACCAATGGCAAGTTATGTTCCTCAAAAGATTCAATTACTTTTTACATATTTTTAAAAGATGTAGGTGGACTACAACGGTTCGGAATCCATTCGCTATCATAGAGGACTATTCCTGGATTTCGTTCCATAAGTACCACCTAATAATATATATCCTAGGCTGTACTAAAATTGTTGAATAAAAAATAACTTTTATTTTAAGTTTGCGTGAAAAATAATTTTTCTATCCCATTTTTAGAACTTATATATGCCGAACTATTCCTGGGATAAATATCTCCATTGATTTTTGTTTCATTATCTCCTTTTGAGCTATGTTTGCAATTATTTTTTTTCTGATTCAACAATAATTAATGGTGAAAAATTTAAATCAAATGTATTTTTTAATACTAATGTCTTTTTTTATACATTTCGGATTCCAATTCAAAATTTGTTCTGTAAATATTTTTAAAATAATACCTGTAATTTTTAATATTAAAAAAAATATACATTAACATTTACTTTTGTGAAAATAATCATTTAAAGCTTGTACCTGAACACATTGAAAGTCGTCCAATTTATAATCCCGATAAACCGGGTATAGAACAGGGTAAACTAGAAATGTGGGTAGATATGTTTCCCATGGATATGCCATTACCGGGACCAGCTGTTGATATATCACCGAGAAAACCAAAGGCATACGAACTGCGTGTGGTTATATGGAATACCGACGATGTGGTATTGGAAGATGATGCCTTCTTTACGGGAGAGAAAATGTCCGATATTTATGTTAAGGGGTAAGTGGACAAATTTAAAGTTATTTTATAAATTGAGGATATTAATTTAAAAATTTACTATTGTAGTTGGTTAAAGGGTCCCCAGGATTGTCAATCCACGGATATCCATTACCGCTCATTAACCGGTGAAGGCAACTTCAATTGGCGTTTTATATTCCCCTTCGAATATTTAGCGGCGGAAGAGCGCATTGTGTTGTCTCGTCGCGAGTCCCTATTTAGTTGGGATGAAACAGAGGTCAAAATCCCAGCACGTTTAGAGTTACAGGTCTGGGATGCAGATCATTTTTCGGCTGATGATTTTTTGGGTACAGACATTTTTTTTTAAATATTTGTATATAAAATTATAATGGGATTTATTTATAGGTGCCATATCCTTCGATTTGAATCGTTTTCCTCGTGGAGCTAAATCTTCGAAATTGTGTACCCTGGATATGCTCAAAACCGATAATATTCCTACTGTGAATATATTCAAGCAAAAGCGAGTTCGCGGCTGGTGGCCATTCTATATTAAGAAGCAAAATGAAGAAATGGAATTGACGGGAAAAGTTGAAGCTGAATTCCATCTCTTGACCAAGGAAGAGGCTGAGCAAAATCCGGCAGGCTATGGCCGTAATGAACCCGATGCTTTAGAGAAACCAAAGTAAGTAATACATTTTGAATACGGATTGAATTTCCCTATAGGAAATTTTTCATCGCAATACGTTGAGAGAATTTCCTTATACGAAATGTTTCAGCACAATACGTTGTGAGAATTTCTTTATAGGAAATTTAATTTTTCAACGAATACTTGTATAGAATTTCCGCATAGGAATTTTTCAACGCAATACGTTGAGAGAATTTACTTATAGGAAATTTGAGAGAATTTCCATATAGGAAATTTTTCAACGGATACGTTGAGCGAATTTCCTTATAGGAAATTTTTCAACGCAATACGTTGAGAGAATTTCCTTATAGGAATTTTTTCAACGCAATACGTTGAGAGAATTTTCTTATAGGAAATTTTTTAACGCAATACATTGACAAAATTTCTTTATAGGAGATTGTTCAACACGTTGAGTTGAGAGAATTTCCTTATAGGAACTTTTTTACCGAATCACGTCGGGAGAATTTCCTTATAGGAACTTTTTCACCAAATCGCGTTGAGAGAATTTCCTTATAGGAAATTCTTCAACGCAATACGTTGAGGGAATTTCCTTATAGGAAATTTTTCAACGCAATACGTCGAGAGAATTTCCTTATATGAAATTTTTCAAAACATTGAGTTGAGAGAATTTCCTTATAGGAACTTTTTTACCGAATCACGTTGGGAGAATTTCCTTATAGGAAATTTTTCAACGCAATACGTTGATGGAATTTCCTTATAGGAAATTTTTCAACGCAGTACGTTGAGAATTTCCTTATAGGAAATTTTTCAACGCAATACGTTGAGAGAATTTCCTTATAGGAAAATTTTCAACACAATACGTTGAGAGAATTTCCTTATAGGAAATTTTTCAACGCAATACATTGAAAAAATTTCTTTATAGGAGATTGTTCAACACGTTGAGTTGAGAGAATTTCCTTATAGGAACTTTTTTACCGAATCACGTCGGGAGAATTTCCTTATAGGAACTTTTTCACCAAATCACGTTGAGAGAATTTCCTTATAGGAAATTTTTCAACGCAATACGTTGATGGAATTTCCTTATAGGAAATTTTTCAACGCAGTACGTTGAGAGAATTTCCTTATAGGAAATTTTTCAACGCAATACCTTGATGGAATTTCCTTATAGGAAATTTTTCAACGCAATACGTTGAGAGAATTTCCTTATAGGAAATTTTTCAACGCAATACGTTGAGGGAGTTGAAGAAGGACAACTTTTAATTATAAAATTTCATTTGTTTTCTATTTCAGTCGTCCAGATGCCTCGTTTATGTGGTTTGTAAATCCAATCAAATCAATTCGCTACATAGTATGGCACAATTACAAATGGGCCATTCTGAAGGGTCTTCTATTCTGTGGCTTGGTACTATTTTTCGTTCTATTCGTATACTCGGTACCTGGTTATTCGGTTAAGAAAATACTGGGTGCTTAAAAATCTCCATTGTGGATTTTTTTTCACAAAAATTTTATATTTTTAAGAATGAAAGTTTAGGTGAAAAAAATAATAAGGAAAAGGCCTACCAGAAACAAAGTATGAAACATATGAGGGTTGTACCTGATTTTTTGTTAAGAATGTATGTTTGTATGTGTATGTATGTAAATTTAAAATAAAATACAATTGAATACTTTATAGTCAGTAAGGTTAATGATAAGTCTAAATAAAAACATACAAAAATACAGTAATCAAAAAACGGGTTTCAGGGTATTTGTACAAAAAACCAATCTTGTGATCTTTTGATTGAATGGAACATAAAGTGCAAATATATATGTGTATGTCATTATTATTGTATGTATGTAATATGAAAGGAACCAATAATCACACTTTCGAATATTTTAATATTCTCAAATAATAAATATTTTTCGAATAACTATTTAACTTTATAGTAACCTTTTACAAAATATGCAGAGATAATATTTCAGAGTTATTTTTTGTTGCACGAGGTGTTACGAAGGGTTTATTTTAATTGAAAATAATAATTTAGTACTTAAATTGTAAAAATTTTTGAAAAAACTCATGCGATTTTGAATTATAAATTCACGGGCTTGTAGTCTGAAATAATTTGAAATATTTCAAATAATCTGATGTTAAGACGCCGTTGAAAATTTATGGAATTTTTTTGGGCCATTTGAGGCCATAAGCTTTCATTTCATTTATATATTTCCCTTCTCTACAATTGATTTCAATCTCCTTTTTGGAAATAATTTCCCACCTTATATTTCAAGTTTGAATTCCAAAAAACTATTTAATTTCACACATCTTGCTCAACCAATCACCAAAAAAGAAACAAGTTAATGAAAACTATACAATGTATTTGAAAAACAATCAAAACTATTTATTAATTTATTATTAGTTTTAGGATATTTATTTTCCCAAATAAGTAAGAAAATCACACAAATTTACTTAAAAGAAAAAATAAAAATATTGTGCCACAACCAAAAATTTAATAAAATTGTATTATATAAGAATGTATTTTAAATATAAGGCATCTATTTTTGCAGAATGTTAAGGAAGAGAGTGCAGAATCAAATCAAATATATATTTTTTGCATTTTATAACTAAACATATATATTTATTGTTATTCAAGAGTTTATTAGACGTAAATTCCATTATTAAAAAAAATTATATATATCCTAAAATTGGTTTTTGCTCACCAGTAATCTTGAAATACTTTTCAATCAGTACTATATTTATTAGATTTATATTAAATAGTTTCTTCAGTATTAAAAAAATAAATAAAAATTATATTTATATTAATTAATGTTGTTAATATAATTTTTTCAATAAAAAACAAATTATTACGCCTTCGTGGTTTATTATTTCAACCAGGGATGGTCCGTGTGACAAATATTTAGGTTTTCGACTGTCAAAAAGGTGTGAACGTCGAAAACGTCATATACCTGTATAAAATTTAATAAATGTAGTAAACGTCATTTACTTGAATATTATTATCACATACATTTATTTTCAAGAATATACATTATTTTTGCATATATCTAACTATTCCATACTAGAACTGAGAAAAAATTCTAAACTTGTTGGAGAAGAAAATCTTGAAATTTGATATGGATTTGAATGAAGTATACGTAATTTCCAAATTGACTAATGGGAATAGCTATTTTGTCAAAAACCTAATGGTTTTGGGTGGGCTTGCGACATTTCTGACGTATGTATTGTACGTCGGAAATGTATGTCATTTACGTAACAGTTTGTGACGGACCATCTCTGATTTCAACTACGAAATGGTGGGGAAAGGAACGATGGGAACTAGTTCCAGTTCTTCAATTAATATCCAAAGGAACTATCGAGGAGTCGGAACTATATGGAGCAAAGGAACTAGATCCTTTTTAAAGAAGGAACTAGGAGGATCGATCCAACTCCAGGAAATTATTAAAAAAAAATACCGATCATAATTAAAATGTTAAGTTTCATTTACATTATTGAAGGTTTCTTCAAAATTTGTCTTCAAAATGCTTCAAACTCGTGTAAACAGCTACATTTCTTCAAAATTTATTGAACAAAACTTTTGAAGATTCTATTGATACCGTGTAAATAGACATCAAAATCGCATCTGGCAATATTGATGACTAGAAATATTGACAGCATGTTCATTAGTATTGGCATATTTTATTAATAGGGTAACTAGTTCAAGCAAAACATCAAAATCGTCTGGTGACATTTGTGCAACGATTTGCACAAGATTTCCAAAAGAAAAGGTCGAACCCAATGTTGCTTTTGTGTTCTTCTTTTCTTCATTGTCATCAGCTACTTCTTCCTCCAATATTAAAAAATGCTGATGACCGTGTCGTCGTCCATAGTTATTAATACTAAACTATTTCTCAAAATAATCAAAACAGCTGTTCAAAGTCAATATTTTCAATATAAAAAATACCAATAGTGTAAATTAGCTTCAAAACATTTTGATCAAGCGTTGATCAAATTATTTTGAAATATATTGAAAGAATATTTTGATCAAATTTTTGAAACGTGTAAATAGGACTTAAAAAAACATTTTCAATCGTGTAAATGTAGCTTTAGTACCATTTATTACTTTTGATTTATATTCTCTTATAGTTCTCACGTATTCGGTTTCCAAAATATTTTTTTATTTGTTGTTTTTTCACATTTAAATATATATAAAATGTCAACAAATACGAAATACACAAAACGAATTGCCAAAAAATCTCAAACACTACACACCAATTCTAATCTAAATCTAGACTTATAGCACGTATTTTCAAAACTACCTCCATATCTCAACACTACACACCAATTCTGATCGCAACAGAAATCTAGCTATATACTAATTACATGGTATTACATAGCACCTCTACACTATTGTAATACTTATTTCCAAAATTTTTTAAATTTTAGATATAGGTTCACCCAAATATAATTACAAATTTCAGGATTCTAACTTTATCCGTCCACCCAAAAATTTTGATTGTATCAAATTAATAACATTTAGTACACATACGTACGAATTTTCAAAACTACTTATATAACTCAATTCTATACTCCAAAAGTAATCTTAATTTCGATGTTCCAGATTTCCAAAATGTTAGTTCCAAAAATTACAAATTTTCAAAACTATATCCTACATCTTATTTCCAAATGTCGATGCTCCTGATCTATTGGTTCACCTAAATCCAAATTTAATACACATTGGTAAAATTTCCAAAACTTCGCACATAACTCAATTCTACACTCCAATAGAGATCCTATCTCAAAATTGCAGGATTCCAGCCCTAGCGGTTCACCCGAATCCAATTTCTACCAAATTTAGTAACATTAGTACGAATTTCCAAAACATCCTATATAGCCCAACAGGTAATATCACAGCTCTATCGGTTCACCCAAAATATAGAATTTTACCAAATTAAGTACAATTCAGTACACATAAGTACCAATTTCTAAAATCTACCTATATCATACATTCAATAACAACTTTATTTGCCAATTTCAGGATTCCACCCTTTTTGGTTCAACCCAATCCAAATTGTACCGAATTTAGTACACATTAGTATGAATGTCCAATATTTCCTACATATCCCAATCCTACACCCAACAGCGATTTTAACTCTAAATTTCAATATTGCAGCACTATCGGTTCGCATAAATCCAAATTTTATCAAATTTAGTACCTATAAGTACAAAGTTCCAAAATTACATCCATACCTTATACGCCAATATTAATCTTATTTCCAGATTTCAGTGTTCCAGCTCTATGCGTTCACCCAAATCTTAATTTAGTGCCATTTAAAACTTTTCGAACACATAAGAACAAATATCCGAGGCGAACTACATATTCAAATACTACACTCCCACGGAAATGTTAATTTCAAATTTCAGGATCCCAACTCCATTCGTGACTCCAAATTCAAATTGTACCAAATTTAGTACTGTTTAAAACGTTTCGTATACATGAGTACACACTTCCAAAGCCAACTCCTTATACCGACCCTACTTCGCAATCTTAATTCTCATTCTAAAATTTAAGTTTTTGGCTCTATCCATTCACAAGCAACTAAAGTGTAACAAATTTAGTACTTTTCGGATACTTTTAGTTAGAATTTCCAAAAAAAAAAACACTTCATTAGTGACCCTTATTTCAAATTTAAGAGTTCTAGCTCCGGTTTGCCAAATGCAAATGGTACCACATATAGTAGGGGAGAGGGGACACCTTTAAACACTTTTTCCTTTCAAGACTCATAAAATGTTTTATTTTATAATTTTTGGTTTTTTATAAATTAAATTTTATATATTTACATTAGTTTTCTGACTTAATTCGAAACTACACTAATTCAAGAATGTCCTTAAAAAATTTCAAGTGAATATCTCAAGAACTCTTGAAGATATAGCATCAAGAAGATGTTAGCATCAAGTGACGGCAAGAGTGATTCTCAAACTTTAAACCCATTTTTCTCGAAGCAGTGTTCTTACAAACGGCGGGCACGATAACTCAAAAACTAATAATTCAATCGGGTCCAAATTTTGACACGTTTCTCTGGGAGTGTATAGCTATCGTATAAACTAGGCTAAAGCCAATCGGTGAAAAACTTCCATATTTTTTAACTTAGTTTGCCATCAAAAATAAGGACTTTTCTTTAACACGTTGACTGCCACGCGTGTTCACAGCAAAATCCCCGTCAGGCCACCCGTGCCACTGCAAGATGTGTGCTCTGCATCGCATTGCATCGCCGTTCACAGAAATAGTTTGGGGAAAAGCCTTAGACGCGAATGCAAGTGGTGTTACGCAAATAAAAGAGAAGAACTGGAACGATCAAAAACAGAAAATCCCCTACTTTTTGTCCAAGCTGCAATGGTCAACCGCAACTTTGCATTGAATGCTTCAATATTTTGCACTGTAAATAATTTTGTTAATAAACGATTTTTAAACAATTCAACAGTATTATCTCCTGCCATATATTTAT